GATCACTGTGTCAGTACTCCCCATTCACCTGGCTTCCAAGAGAACGTCTCTTTGAGTAAGTCCTCCCATCCATCCGGGATACTATTGATCACTGTTTGCAGGTTTTGCCCCTGTTTTCTAACCTTTCTTCTCAGCCCAAATTTTGGAAGGTCCTCCCCCGAACCGGCATGGGAAATTTTGGTTTTGCCCTGGAGTTTCGTGTGCCCGCGGCCCCCGCCTCCCACCTCTAGCCCAAAATCCTCGGCCATGCCCGCTATTCTGATCCACATCATCCCACAAGGTACAGTATGCTGTGCAAGCGATGAGGTTATCCCGGTGTCGCTGACTTCTCTACTCGACTGTCTCTGAACCTCACTCGATGCTTGGTAGCACAAGACCGCAATGCAATAACCCGCTCCAATATGCCTCGTTGTTTGTCTAAGGGCCACCCGCAGGCCCGACGCCGGTCTGAGGCCGCATTGCGAAAGGGGAATTGAACCCCTGAAAATGGCTTCAGGGGCCCTGCGCACGACAGTTGACTAAAGTCAACTGTACAGCGGCCACAAGTCAAAGTCCGCATGGACCCAGCCCAGGCCATTGGTCAAACACACACACTTGGTTGTACGCAGGTATCCCGGCAGCATTCGGTCCAAGTGGAAGTCTGTAACTGTATGAGATCCAGGCCGTCGGCTGTGAGTCAATCCGAGCCTCCGTGGGTGAGGGACCAGAGGCAGGTCAACCTCGTCAACACTACTTAAGGCCCCTGCCCCTGGGAGTCAACATTCAGTCTTGCCTTGCTGGCTTGATGCTGGTGCGACGCTGGCTTGACGCTGGCTGGGCGTTGGCATTGTGCTACGACGACGTGAGACTGCTGCACCGTGTGCTGGCACCTCCCTGCTCTGGCGCCAGCTGTCTTCTGGCTTCCTAGCGTGGCACATGCCACGCTGTCTACATTGCTGCTGTGGGGCATGCCACGCTGTCTTCGACATTGCTGACATGGCCCATGCCACACTGTCTTCATTGCTGATTGGGACGCGACAAGGAGGGAGATTGGGATCTGTGGATTGGTTGAGTGAGAGGAGACTTACCTGTTGCTGATGTCGACATTGCGCGCGGTGGTGACGTCTTCATGGGAGAACTGTGCCACGTGGCACTTTGATGTGATCAGACCTTGTCAGGCTCGTTTCTTGGACACTGTTTGCTGACGTGGAGAAGAGGGAGGCCCGAAGAAGGAGAGGGGAACGAGGGGCTTCTATCTATGTAGTCATTGATGGATACTCTCTTCGACCCTCTTAAGTCTTTTCTCCACCTTCGTCCACTGGTTATGAGACATTGTATCAGCAATCACATTTCATGATTATTGGAGATATTATTCAGCGTTATCTTGTACTTCGACACTTGACGAGTTTCCTCCAGACTGGGTTCATTACAGCAACATCACTTCCGCACCAAGCTCAAATTGAAACTGAGACGCCTTGCTGCCTTTGTCGATCTTCAACTCACCCTGTAGTCTCTTGGACTTTGGTAGGACTGGACTGCCTGGGTTGGATAGACTTCACTGACAGACCTACCGGGTCCTACAGGGCCTACTGGACTCAACCTAACTACCGTACTTGCATCTAGGGTATTAGAAAGCCGGATATCGAGATTGCCATCTTCGCTCAGGAACATGGAACTTGAAGGGGGGAAAAACACATGAATGTTATGATACTTAATGCCAGCCACTCAAAGGGCCCACCATAGCCATCTCATACACCTGTCTCTTATACACATCTAGATGTGTATAAGAGACAGCTACTATGCCATCCTACAGTGAATACACATGAATGTTATGATACTTAATGCCAGCCACTCAAAGGGCCCACTATAGCCATCTCATACACCTTCGTCCTAATATGCCGAGCAGGTGGCTATGGCGGATTTTTGGAGTGAAACTCCAATGTTCAAAGGGCAATGCAAAGCTACTATGCCCCTCTTACTGTGCCTCCATGCTCCTCCACTGCCCCAAAGTCTTCCTTGAAGATGCCAACCCTAGTTCGGCCTTCCAGGTGCAGCGCCAACCATGAAGATGCAGACCACCATAGCTAGGTAAGCTTCCCCGTCATCCTCCTCCTTGCCCGATGTCTTCCTCCTCCTCCTACCTCCCACGAAGCTCCTCCTTGGTCCTCTCTACCATAGCTAAGGTAGGAGGCCAAGCCCGCCTACTCCTACCTCAGTGCTGCTCCAGCCAGTGCTCGCCCAAGCAGCGTGTCTCCAAGACTCACGTGTGCAAATGAGGAAGAGCTCTTCACTCTTCCTGAAGATATACCGCCCTACTGCCTCTTCAGGCGGTGACTTTCCAGGCCGAGCGGCCTCCCAAGCAACTGGTACCTTCCTTGTTTCGGAGAGAAGCATCATTGCAGTCCGATATCCCTCGCTCAGGCCCTAGACTCGGACTAGTGGACCAGTACCCCTAAACTCTAAGCCTAACAGACTCTACAACTTAAAACTCCTTTGGCCTCCAAAGTTGCTAACTTTTTGTCTTCCTCTGCCAACCTACCTGCTACTTGAGTGTTAGCCTACTTCTAAGTTTCCCATTGCAACCCCAGAAAGCACAGCCACAGGTAAGTACCAGGCCAGAGGGCCTTCGCAGCACACAAGTACCCTGGTGGGTCAAACACACAACCAAGCAATCATCCAGTCACACACACACACGTACTTAGAAATCTCAGCAGAATACGGGAATCTCAGCAAGTCACTCAGGGCAGCAGCAAAGCTCAGAAAACAGTAGAGTTCTCCGTCTGTGATTTTGCAGGTCATTACACGAGAAAAGTTAAAAAAACAGAATGGAAACTGATAAGGCAGGTATTACAACGCCTGGGAAGCCTGGCCAATGTGGCTGAATGGTACACAAAGGTAACTGTTAGGGGGCTTCCCCTTTCTAAAAGGAAAAGAACGAGGCTGGCACTGCGAGGAAATTTGTCGACACCAAGAGGTTCTGCACCTGAAGGTCGTTCTTCCATAGATACTCATATGCCAGGTATGTGTCCTTAAATGCTTGGCACTTTATTTCGTTGTCCTGCACGATATTCTGGACCTGTGCAATGGCTTCTTGAATGCTGCATCCGATCAAAGTGAAACACAGTGCAATTTGGAGTTCCAGACACACTCGTCACAACTTTTAGTACAGAAACCAAAACTTCGAAGTTTGAACATACTTGCCTCTTATATGAGGGGAACCATGATTGTTATACGAAATTCATGCCAGTGCATGATTTTAAAGACTGAGCAGAGGTTTCCATGAAGCTAGCATTCCCATATTTGCTTATTTCTCCCACTAAATTCACTAATGCTGAAAACCAGATTAAAGTGCAAGGAAATGAGCAATACGAATGACAATAAACCAGATTGAAACAGTCCACAGAAAGCCAGATAACGTTGAGTCCGAACTGAAAGCAGATTGAGAACCGAGATAACACCAAATAAGCATGAGCAAAGCATTGCAGTCACATGATAGTGAAAGTCCTCTCCTCGCCTCCAATCACCAATGTCAACAATGTAGCCCTTCTATGCTGGCGCTCGGCGCCAGACTCCGGACAGACAGCTCCTATGATGTGGACTACCTACAGCAGATCTACAATGACGATCATTAGCCCGATGAATGCATGGAGACTCTGTGTGAACGGTCGCTTCTCCTTCACCAGGTGAGTGCCTTGTCACACCACTCTTCTCCCTGACCTCCCTCACAGTCCCCTCTGCCCAAGGACCACTGTGTTACGGACTCCACCAGGGCTCGATCCCTGGTCTGCGGGTTATCACCCGCCAACTTGCTGTTTTTTTTTTTTTTTTTTTTTTTTTTTGCAATTCTTTTTGTGTTTGTTCTTGCTTTTCTGATTTCGGACGGTTGGCGCCATCTGCATTCTGGCGCCCGTTTTCAAATTCCTTCTTTTTTTTTTTTTTTTTTTTTTAAGAGAAATAGCATGCTTTATTATATATGGAGCAAACGGAGGCCGGGAATCCCTCCACATCTCAACCCGGAAGACTGGGACCGTTGCCCAGATTTGGCTCTAACTGGAACCCGGGTCCAGTGTCCCTTTCTCCTATGAAGCTTCATGCTATTCCTGAACAAAAACTAAAACTGGACAAAGGGAAAAATAGCGAAAAGACGAAAGATCCTGCCTACTATCTTTCCATCCATCCCCATCTTAAGCCTTAAAACTGACCGCTGTGACTCATTACCCAACTTAGGCTCTTACTGGATCCAAGTCCAGTGTCCCCTTTCTCCTGTCTGTCTAACTGCTATTCTTGAACAACGACCAAACTGGATAAACTAAAAACAACTAGCAATAAAGGAAAGAACTCTGCTACCTACCCTCATGTTGCACCTGGGCGCCACAAAATCCTTAAACCCTACACCCTGCTGTCTGCCTATCTTTCCCAGCCAACCTGCCCCTTCGCCTCCCTACTCTGCTGTGTTAACCTTTTAGCCCACCTCCGTTCCCCTTCTTCTATCTTAACTTAAGTGCTTCCCTTACAAACCTAACCCTCTAGTCTTGCCCCCGTTGATCCTTATTCCCGAACCAATGGAAAGCTAACCTGTATCCTTCAATTGTTGCTATCTTTCCTTTTACCAACGTTATCTGGTGAAAAGTCTTAAATATCTCCCGGGCTTTCACCGGGCTTAGTTGAGCTTGCCGTCTTGTTCTTTGCCATTGGGCCGTGATATCCGTCTCCAGAAGGTTGTGCAAGATTGGCCTCCATCCTATGCATTTGTCCCCTTCCTATCGCCTGAAGGCATCTCCTCCTCCATATGGTCCACAGTGCATATTGTCTCAGTAATTGGAACCCCCTTCTCTGTCCCGGTTGCCATGTCTTCGGAAGCTCCATGCCGGTGAGGAGGATCCTCCTGTCCTCAGGAAAGGACTCGTCTGAGATCTTTCCCCACAGTTCCCTGGCTTCTTCCCACACATATGCCGCCTCTGGGCATTGCAGCAGACAATGAATCAGGGATTCCATCCATTCGGCCGTGCAAAGGTGGCACTTGTGATTGACCTGATCCCTCTGGTTGTGACTGCGGCGCTCATACAGCCAGGCATTGACTGGGAGCGCCACATGGAAAATCAGCCGTTGTAAGCTTTTGACCCTACCTGACCTTACGCTATTCAACACTGGCCACGACAAACTAGCGACCTGCGTCCTGGGCACTTCCAACCTCCTTTCCCATCGGATAGCCAGTGGTTCCGCCAGTGAGTGAGACCTCCTTCTAAGTTTGTACCCCAGTTTGTTTGTGTAATGCAGTATGCTTATTCTTCTGGTCACTCCCAGTACTCCTCCCCTGATGTTCCATGCCCATTCTACCGGGTCCACTTCCAAATCCTCCAGGGCCGTAGACGGAGCATAAATCATGTAGTTGTCCATCTCCACCACTATGACCTTCCGCGCTGCACTTTTTAAAATTGTAATTGGGGTAGTAGATGCCTTATCTATTTCACTGGTGGTGGTCCCTCTTTCCTGTATTGAGAACATATCAGCCAATAACCAGGCATCCGTCGGGCCCGTCTTACCCCTTATCCTGAAGGCCTTTTCTGGCTTGTCCTCGTGTATCCATGTGGCTCAATCCCCCTTCTCCCATTGAGGTCCCTTCTGTAGCATCTTTACCCACTCTGACGGGATGGAGATGAGAACATCGTTCAGATTTTCTAGCAACCTGTGGGTACCCTTCATTTCGTACCAAAGGTCTCGTGCTGTCTTGAATTTGTGTCTTCCACCGCTGTTTTTCGTCTGACCATAAATGTCTGACCTGCCAGACTCCATGTTCCACCAACGTTCCCCATTTCGAGTCCCGTGCTGTTAAGGTACACGGCTTCCCCTGCTGATCCTTGATCAAAGGGTTGCAGAATAGTGGTTGACGGAGGACCTCCTCCCTATTGCTTGGTTCCCTGACCCCCGCTGGTTCACACGAACATAACTTTTTTTTTTCTTTTTTCAAACAGGTCCTTATGGTCCTGGCTCCATGTCCATTATGGGGAGCGTCAGTCCGGTTCCTATTCCCCCGGCAAGTCGAAAAAGGGTTACAACATATTAATCACTCAACGCTTCCTTCCGTCTGGCCGAAGGATCCCCGGCCAGCATTGATTACTCCTTCTAAGGAGGATTGGCTGTCAGCTTGCCCTGACCATCTGTTCCTCTCAGGCTTCTACTTAGGGCCTGTCGAATGAGTCCCTGTATTACGAGAACAGTGGGGGGGGTCCGCTCTGTGTTATGTTGTTTGTCCTTGTCCTTCCCTGTGTTTCCGGTCCTCCTTTTGTTGATCACCATACAGCGCCTTCAGCCAGGTCACCCGGTAGGTACCCTCGTAGTCTTCATGATTGTGTCTGGTGCCATTTTCAGGCCTTCTTCCATATCCGGGTTGCTTCTGAGCAAAAGAGGAGGCAGTGGGGGATGTCTTCGGGTGAGTCGTTGTTGCACATTGAGCAGCATTCTAAGCTATCGGTTCCTTCTCTCGTGTAGCTGTTGGTTGACTGGAAAGGCTGCATGTGCTATTAGCCATTCCATACTTCAGATTCTAATTGGTCTGATGAGAAGGTATTTGGTCCATGTGATGGAGATGGGGGTCGTCGTATCTAGGCTCAGTATGGTTCTCCATTTCTCTGTCAGCCTTGGATTCGGGTCTCTGGTTTGTAGCCCGAGGCTATATCCGAGCTTATCGTTGTGTTCTATTATCGTCCTCGATTTACCGGTCGCGCTGTCGGCGCGAATACCCTTACAAGGGTATCTGCCCTGGTTTTTGCAAGTGACAAAAAAATAAGTTTGGATTAAAGTTTAAGTGGGCCGCGCGAGGCGCGGCCGCGTCGGTGACCTACATTGGCCAAGATAGAGGATGTGTGTGCGCGTAAGTTTAAGACGCGCGGGTGATCTTTTACCTTTGGTCTGGATAGTAATGATTGGCATGGGTTGACCGGCAGGGAATT